CCACAGCTGAAGGACGGGGGGGGGGAGGCACCTCCCGGCTGCTCCCTCTGCCTCTCCCTTTCTCTCGCTCTTCCTGGAGAAGGGGCAGGTGGTGTCAGGAGGGCCCTCCGACACCCAGGTCTCGCTCACGTCTTCCTTCTCTCCGGCCGACTCGCGCAAACACGCCCTCAGTCCCTTCCTCTCCTCCGCTGGGCGACGGACACAACCGGGGGCCGAGTCCTCCTGTGTGTCTGGGTCCGTTCCGCCCCCGGCGTTGGCCAGGCTGGGGTCTTTGGGGCTCCTTCCGTACAACCGTCGGTTGGAGGTCGCTGGAGGCTGGGTTGGGCCAGGGTGGGGTGGGGGGGGGTGGAGGGTGAAGACGGCCAGCCGGCCCGCCTTCCCTCGGCCCCAGCTCAGCCCCTTAGCTGAGGATGGCCAGGTAGACGGGGGGAGCCTTGACGAGGCTCTGCAGCCGGCCGTGGATCTCCCTCATGCTCTGGCGCTGCTGGGGCTCCCTCTGCCAGCAGCTCTGCATGATGTCGTAAACCTCGGAAGGGCACGTCCGAGGCCTCTCCAGCTCCCGGCCCTGCGTGATGCACTCGATCGCCTGCCCAGGGAGGAGAGAGAGAGGAGAGAGAGAGAGAGAGAGCCCGTGTCAGCCCACCTGATAGGGGCACTTGTCAGGTGGGTGGGGGTCCGCAGAGAAGCCCCCATATACGCCTGAGAAGAGCTCCCCCGGTTAGAGATGGAAAATTTTCACAGTTCTCTGGAAAAACATGGAACATTTTTCCTAAACTTCCCATCTCTAGGCCCGGTCCTTCAGAAGCTCTTTGGAAGAGGTGTTCGAGGCCGCAGGACTTCGCACCCCGAAAGAGAGCCGAAAGGGGCCGTCAGGTGCCCCAGCCCCCAAGGCAAGCCGGGTGGGGTGGGGTGGGTGGGTGTCTCCTGCTCCCAGGCTATGACCTTTGACCCCACGTCCCCTACCTCGGTGTTGGAGAGCTGGTACCAGGGCTGCTTCCCGTAGGTGAAGATCTCCCACAGCACCACCCCAAAGCTCCAGATGTCGCTCTCGGTGGTGAACTTCCTGTACAGGATGCTCTCGGGAGGCATCCAGCGGATGGGCAGCATGGTCCGACCTCCGACCTGTGGGTCAGAGGGGAGAAGACCGTGAGGGTCCAGAGGGTGGGGGTGGGTGGGCAAGGGTGCCCTCCCCGCCCCTCCCTTGGCCCTCCACCGAGAGAGGCTTGCATCTTTTCGGATCCACTGGGCGGGAGAAGAGCCGCGCTTGAATGCCTGGGGAGAAAAGGGTCCCCCAAATACGAGCGGCGGCACCAGGGAGCCCCTGCGGAGGCCGATCAGGGCTCTCGGGTGGGAGTCAAACCACAAAGATCACAGAAGACCCGAGGCTCTCCGCCCTCGTTCTGGTGAAGCTTCTTGTGTTCTTTGTCAGGAGAAACGGAATCACCAACTGAAAATGAATCAGATCCTTGACCTTGTGTGTGTGTGTGTGTGTGTGTTGTGGGGGGCGGGTGTCTCCTCTCAAGACGAAGGGAACGGACCCAAGCTCTTCCTCCTCCTCCTCCTCCTCCTTTCCGTTGGGAAGCCAGGGACTTCCCAGCTGCCTTCCTCTTTCCCCTCCATCTGCTTTCTTATCCCCCCCCTTTTTAATTAACCGTTAAATTGCTCTCTGCCCAGCCCCCTCTCCCCCCCCCCAACCGGCCTCCTGCGTTTCCACTGACTAAGTGCTTATAGGATTTTCCAACCCGGGCTCCATTAAATATGAATCGGGGGCCAGGGCAGAAGCTAAAAGGGAAAAAAAAGATCATCGTCAAGAGCCTCTGTGGGGCCTGGCCGGTCAGAGGGTGAATCCCTCCGAAGCCCTTGTGTGTTCTGGGCTGGAGGGGGGGGGC